CCCCCCCCCCCCCCCCCGCCACCACCACAAAAAAAAAAAAGAAAAAAGAAAAAAACAATTGAATGACAAAACACCCACCACATGGCGGGCATGCACTATAGGAGGGCAGAAAGAGACGAACACAGGTGCAAAAGGGGCTCGTGAAAACAGGCAGCATTGTAAGGATTTGGTTTCAGGCTTTTTCGTTTTTGTTTTTTTCTGGGAAAATTGCATCTGTACGCCGTTTGAAGATGGGAATACCCGCCTCACCCACTCCCATCGCCAATTTTGCATCTATACCCGGATCCTGTTCAACTTAACATACTACCCGACTTTTCCCCTGTGTGAAATTGCTCACATATCCAGTTCCCCAGGCCCTCAGTAGAGGACCATGAACTTATGCGCAAGCCCAGAAACAGGGCTGGCAAAATTATGGCTGTGCCCACACCAAAATGGTGGTGTTTCAAAATGGATGTGCCCCCTCTTCCCCCCCCACCTTCCCGTACAAAGAGAGAGAGAGAGAGAGAGAGAGAGAGAGAGAGAGAGAGAGAGAGAGAGAGAGAGAGAGAGAGAGAGAGAGAGTTGTTCCACTACACACCATGGTACACATATTTGGAGCTGTAATAGTCCCGATATATTTGAATGTACGGTCCAGATGAATGTTGAACGTTGTGTAGTAGAGTGAGGCCTGATGAGAGAGAGAGAGAGAGGTAGAGAGAGAGGGAGGGAGAGAGACAGAGGTCTGCACATGTCAAAGGGTCCGTGAGTGAGAGAGAGAGAGAGAGGTCAATGGGCACACATCGCACACGTGATAGAGAGAGGTGGGTGCACGCCTGTCAATGGGTGTTCATGAGAGAGACAGAGAGACAGAAGAAGATTGGGGGGGGGGGAGCGAGGAAGAAGGGCGGGCAATTAGCTGTAGCGCTCGAATCTGGAGGTGTGAACACATCCAAATGCAGATGCTTAATCCAATACTCTTTACGAACAGGACCCCGCCCTCTGTCTCTTTTTCTTTCTCCCTACATAGAACCATTGAGAGAGAGAGACAGACAGAGAGAGACAGAGAGACAGAGAGAGAGAGAGAGAGAGAGAGAGAGAGAGAGAGAGAGAGAGAGAGAGAGAGGCACACACACACAGACACAGAGAGAGAGCCAGACACAGAGAGAGAAGGGCGGGGGAGGGAGGGTGCCGAGGTCCCACTAGCAAAGAGGATTGGATTTAAGCATCTGAATCTGAAGGTGTTTAATGACTACATGCCGAAATCACTGTTTCTGCAAACACGTCCAGATTCACGCATTGGTGTAGTTGCTTATAACAGCAATTTGATGAAGCATTGTGGCCAAGTAGCCCCCGGGTACGAGGATAATTTCGGCTACGGGGTAGTTGGGTATAACTGTGATTTGGCCGGTCCACCTCAGTCCCGGTATGCCCACAATTTACATGGGTATGTCCATAATTTGAGCATTCCAGTAGCTGGTTATAACAGCAATTTGGTGGTACAAACGTGGGTCCATCTCAGTCTTGGGTATGAAAATAATTTCCACTGGCTGTTTCCCGGGTATAGATGCAAGTTGGGCGCTGGGACTGGGTATAACGGGTATTACCATCTTTAAAAGGGGGTGGATGGAATTTTTTTGCTTCTAAACCTGTGCCCTGGTTAAGGGACTCTGAAGGCTGTGGAGGGTTCAGCCTCCTGATGAGTCAGTGAAACTCCGACGAACAGGGACTTGTCACAGCTCCTCATTTGGGCATTAGGGGGGTGGGCGGCCCTCCCCCCTCCCCCCTTTCTTGAGCAAATGAAACTGGGGCTCAAGAGGGGGGGGGGAGGGGGCAAGAGACAGAATCAAGCAAGGCCGCCCACCCCCCTAAGACGCAACCTGACCAACTCCTTATGTTAGCTGGTTCCCGCCACGGATAGCTGGGTGGGGTCCTGGTAGTTTAAAGAGATTGGAAACGGGCCAACAAAAGTGGGGCTAGAGAGAGAGAGAGAGAGACAGACAGACAGACAGACAGACAGACAGAGAGAGAGAGAGAGAGAGAGAGTCAAGCGCCTGTACGGTACCTGCCTTATTAACTTGACAATTTCCTTCTGTCGAGTCCGTCGATTTGCATTCGTTGAGAACTGTCATCGAATCAACACATCCAAGGAATCAAAATTGTGGAAACAAAATTGTAGAAATAACTTTATGCTAGGCTACCAGCCAGGCCGCCCGGGTCACCCTATTTTCCCGGGCGGCCCGGCCGTGCAAGGACCAGGGAAGGTCCTAGCCAAAAGGGAAAAAAAAAAAAATCCAAAAAATCCGAAAAAAAAACTATGTTATGCAGAAAAATAAACTGAACAACTTTTGCCTCAGGGTCACACCGAAATTCTTTACCAAATTTAAAATAAAAAAGATATTAATTTTTTTTTTTTTTTTTTAATATCTTTTTGACCCGGCCGGGCAAGTGGACCCGGGTCACTCTGTTAGCCTAGCTTTACGCGCTGATTGACAAAAAAATGAAAATTGAAAATTAAGAACCGAATACAAAGGTAAATTAAAACTAAATTGGAGGGGGGGGAAGTCATTTCACTGCCTGACTGTTAGTTGATTTCACTGCTCGATAGGAGTCCAGACTATAATGATATTGAATGTCTGAGCCGATCTACTCAGATCCTCTCACAACAGGCATCAATCATTGACATGTGAAAACGTATTCCGACTTCAAGAGATATAAAGACTCACGTTACAGGCAATGGTTCAACAGAGCATATATAAATAGTAATCATAATAATAAAAAATCCTAACCCATTTGAAAGTTATATACAGTGCAGCTATCCAGCTGCAAAGACTGGTCCATGTACTTGTGAATAACCAAGAATATATTGTCACAAAAATGTCAGGGCGCAATTCATTTTCTATCTTCTTACTTACAACTCCCCCTGTTCAAAACCTCTTGCATGCAAGGCCGCCGACGAGGATGTAGGTTGAGCGGCGGCTGCCCCCACCCCCGTGTGTCGTATCGACCCACTTGCACACAGCCAAAGGGCAAAGAGGCAAAGAAAAGAGGAAGGAAACAGCCGTACACAACAAAACAGGGGGGAACAAATCATAGATGAGAAGTCCCACATGCAAGCACCGCCCCCACATCACAGGCCTACCGACGGGACAAGACCAACCAGGATATCAAAACACCTTGCCTGCAAAACAAAGTGCTGAAGCATGTCCAACAAAACATAAAAGACAATCCCAGGTGACGATTCCCACATAAAAGCACCGCCCCCAAATGCACACACGCCGAACAACGGGAAACAACCAACCAGGATGCCAAAATAAAAAAAGAGCCTGGATGACAAGTCCCACATGAAAGCACCGCTACGCATTCCCAAATAGACCGAACAACGGGACAAACCCTAAACCCTAAACGCAGACAAAATTACCAGAACAAATTCAAACAACCATAAACACATCCTAGATGACAAGTCCCACATGCAAGCACCGCCCCCTCTTCGTCACAGGCCAAACAACAAACAACGGGMCAAGACCAACCAGGATATCAAAACACCCTTGCCTGCAAACAAACAAACAATCCCAGATAACAGACCACTCGTACTCGCCAGCGACTCTGCGTCAACTCCAAGATTCCTTTGCGATTGTTTTTTGTTGCAAGACCTGGTGTCGTTTCAAGCTTTCTGCTGCTTCGCTGTTCTAAACTAGAAAATACGAGGACACCACCAACGGCAGAAAAAAACAAAAAAGACAATCCCAGATGACGATTCCCACAGAAAAGCACCGCACCATCACACCAAGGCCGAACAACGGGAAACAGCCAACTAGGATGCCAAAAGGATTAAAAAACCCGGATGACAGGTCCCACAACTAAGAATATTGTTCGAGAATTCCCGTTCGTGTACCCACGAGATCAAATAAAATTCCCGTTCGCAAATACTGTTCGAGAATCTGACGTTTTGGACTTGACTAATGTTTTTCGACAACTGACGCTTCCTCCACAATCCAAGATATCTTTTTTGCGTTTCGGACTCAACGGGTGTGTGTTCCACCCTATTATCCCCTAAAACCACCCTGAAGTCCCTAAACCCCAAAACCACCCTAAAACCCTTGAACCCTAAACCCTAAACCCTGAGGCATCGAGAACAACGGTCTGTCTCTGAAAAAAAAAAAAATCGTAGAAGAAAAAACAACATGTACCCTTTCCCGCCGGCAACGGAAAAAAAAGAGTAGAAACGTTTCTAGTCGGATGAAGTTGGACGCTCCTGTAGTAGCCCGTACGTTTCCTAAAATCATGGTGCATTGACGGGTGCGACTCAAGGAAGTACTGTAGTGGTTTAAACGAGCTATCTCAGACGAAAAAAAAGCTCAAGAAAAAAGGGGGGGGGAACGGAGAAAGAGAGGAGAAAGAGAGGGGGGGGGGGGGGAGAAGGAAGAAGTTCGCACAAAACAGCGAACAAGGAAAGAAAATAAATAAAAAACGACAGAACACATTTTCCGAACACTAAAAAAAAAGAAAAGAAAAGAAAAGAAAAAAACACGAAATGAAACTGGATCTGAAATCTTGACTCGTTGATGAGCAGAGGAAGATGCGCTGTCACTCATCATTCTGTAATGTGAAAGGTACCTCTGCGTTAGAATTCTTTTTCAATACCCCCTTTTTTCCTTTTCCTTTTTTCTTTCCCCTTTTTTGCGCTCTGATTCACAATGTGACAATATATATATATAGAGAGAGAGAGGGACACCGCCTTCTTTCCCTTTCTTTTTTTCTTTTTTTTCTCCCCCGAAAGGGGATAAGCCCTTATAGCATCCCCGTCTTCAAAAAAAAAATAAAAATATTTATTTAATTCAAAAACGGCAACAGCCGTTCAGATATCAGTATCCATATCACCGGCCCTAGGTAGGTAATTCAAAAGTTATTTTCCCCCCTACCTAGGTAGGTAATTCAAAAGTTTCCCCCCCCCCTACCCTAGGTAGGTAATTCAAAAGTTATTCTCCATATCTGATTGCACCATCAGGTGTCCGAATTCAGGTCTGTTGTTTATACCGTTCAGACACATGGTCTGTTTTTTTCTTTTGGGTCCCGTCTTCTTCTTTTCCTTTTCCTTTCTCTTTCTACCTAACCAACCCCCTACCCCCGGCCCGCACCGCGGCACCACATAAATTAAAAAAAATAAAGACTATTACATAAATTAAAAAAAAATAAAAACTATTAAAGCGACTGCACCACTCACATTTTGTGGCCCTTGATGCCTTTTTAAAAGAAAATTTAAAAAAAAAAAAAAAAAAAAAAAAAAAAAAAAAAAAAAAGAAGAGAAAGATACTGCACACAACTCACATTTTTTTGCAGTCCTTGACACCTTCGACGATAACCAGGAGGCGGCGGCAGCGAACCCGCCGACGAGTTCGGACGGGAGTCTTCTGTTTTCGATTCCTCCTCTCTCCCAACTGAGCAAACTCGTATTCCCCTTTCCATTTCTGTGAGTCCTTTCCATGAAAGGAATGGATTCTGCCAAATGAATTCTGTTCGCCGTCCGATTTGATGACGATGAAGATGATGATGATGATGACAACGGTCATCAGCATCATGATCATTCACATTGTGATCATCAACGGATTGGAATGTTTCACAGTCTTTCATTACCACCTTCAGCAGCGACCCCGATCCCGATCCTTCTTTCTTCTTCTGCTTCATAATGCCCATGTTCCCTGAACTGCCGTGACAGCAGCGATCCCGACGACCATCCACCAACAGCCGCCAGGCGCATTCGCGGCATTCCCGAAGGGCATTGCAAACCACATTCTGCCACGTGCATGGGGGCCGCGATCCCGACGACTCAAGCGACTTCCTCTCCTCCACCCTCCTTCCGGCTAAACTGCATCCAGAAAGGAGAAGGCCACCACCGATGAAATTGCACGGCTGACGCATCAGTCCATATCAATCTTTCACGTCATCAGGCCAATCTTCACGTCATCAGCCACATCATTACCTCACGTCATCAGGCCACGTCATCAAAGTCACGTCATCGGACCATGTCATCAGGCCACTTCATCAAAGTCACGTCATGGAACCATGTCATAAAGCCACGACGTTAGTTCACACATCTACATCAGTCCACGTCTCCGGGTCATCAGGCCACCTCAACATCAGGCCACGTCATCATCAAATCACCTCATCATCAAATCACGTCATCATCAACTCCGGTCATCAGGCCACCTCAACATCAGGCCACGTCATCATCAAATCACCTCATCATCAAATCAGGTCATCATCAGGACACGTTATCATCAGGACACGTCATCATCAGGACACGTTATGAGGTCCCATTATCAGGTGATGGCATCAAGCCACGTCAATAGTTCACATATCTACGTCAGTGAAGGTCATCAGCTCACAGGTCCGCGACATCAAGCCACGTCATCAGGTCACGTCATCAGACCATGTCATCAAGCCACGTCATTAGGCCACGTCAATTAGTTCACGGCTCTATATCACTCCCGGCCACGTCCTGTCCACATCACCAGTTTGTTTACTGACGAGTACTGGGGACCACAGACCTCCTCCGTGCACGCACGGATTCGAACGGGCGACCTTGGCCACAAGCGCCAAGACTCCTTACCCCTGCATGGCTGTAGTGTCCTTCCTCACTCACACCACACACGACGCCACTCAGGACTTACCTCCGCCCACCACGTAGGCAATTGTCGCTCCCTCCGCTCTTCATCAGCACATGGCCCCCCGCTGCAGCACAGAATTACCATTTATTCTTGACTAATTAACTATATAACTATATAAATAGACTCTAGCTAAATCATTCAAAAACTATAAAATAACTATATTACTATATATTCTTGACCATATATGGAACATCATAGAATGTCAATCATAATAGAATATACAAGATGTAATGTTAATATTAAGATATGATATCATTCATTGATATCAACAGCGTAAACGCATCAACAACCCGTAATTACGTGGCCTAATGACGTGGCTTGATGACGTCGCTTGATGACGTTACCTGATGACGTGGCTTGGGAAAGAATTGATAATCACTGATGCTTCTTCCCAAAAAAAAAAAAACGGCGCTTTTTTTGGTACCGGAGATAGCGAAGAAAATCGAAGTAAAAAAAAAAAAAGTGTGTGGTAATTTACGCTCTCACCTACCGCCTTTACCCGAATAGAACGCCCCGTCGTTATCGCTGTATCGATAGACCAAAAGCTGCCCCTCCCACCCGCGCACCCCCAACAAAAAAAAAAAAAAAGGCCCAAATAGAACTATAATGGCTGGACGTTGTATTCGGATGAAGACGGTTGTTTTTTCTTTCCCCCCTAAACCGGGAGGATGACACCCTCTCTCCTCCTCCTCCTCCCTTCCCTCCCTCCCCACCCTTCCCCCCTTCCCTCCCTTCCCTCCCACCCGCTCACCTCAATCCCCCTGTAATTTAGACATAGCTGCGCTCCATTGAATGACGAACCTACGTTGAAACTTCCGATTGACACTCTCATATGACACGTCAGCAGACCAAAGATACACCTTCACGAGATGGATGACGTCAACGATATTTTCGCTAAAGATCCCGACGAACAGATCCGCAACAGGGAATAAATAGCACACGTGATCTAAAACCGTTTTTTTTTTTAATTAATTAAAAAAAAACGCAACAGGGAATAAATAGCACACGTAATCTAAAACCGTTTTTTTTTATTAATTAAAAAAAAAACGCAACAGGGAATAAATAGCACACATAATGTGAAACCGTTTTTTTTATTAATTAAAAGAAAAAAAAAAGAGTTGGATAGTTGCAATCAATCCCCGTATAGGATCATTTGACCCCTTTCTCCATTTATGAGTGTTCATTCTTGAAAACGCAGCGGCCGTGCTAATCCTCTTTTTTATTTTTTTTGCTGATCTTCTTTCTTTATATCGTTCCAGTTTGAACCGATGTTAGGATCGATGGCAAAAATCTTTGACAATCGATTTAAAAAAAAAAAAAAAAAAAGGGAAAGAGTTTTGCGTCCAACACCGCTTCTTACTAGGAAAACCAAAAAACAAATCCGGAGAACGCCCAAAATACTAATACAAACCACAGCCGCTTAAACCCCTAAAACCGACCCCCTAAACCCTAAACCAAACACAGACACCCACAGACACCCCCAGCCTGAGCCTCCCCAAGTCCGTGAACTAGACGGGACTATGTTCGAGGAACCCTTTTTTTTTTTTTTTTCCCCGAAAAGCAAAATCCATTCATTAAAATCCCAATTGAGGCCAGACCCTCACAAATTCCTGGAAATTGACTGGGTGCATTACCCAATTTCGCTTATAATTCTTCTTCCAAAACCCTCAAAGTTCGCTCAAATTGTACTTATACCCTTCATCCCTCCCTTCCCGAATCTACCTACCCGGTCCCTCTCACCCTACCACTACCCTTCCACCTATATATTCTCCCTCTATCCCTCTTTCTATTCAATGAATTTGATGAAATAGAGAATATAATAAATTGATAAGATTCTAATTGATTCTATCCCTCTATCTATACACAGACCTAATCCGGTAGAGCATTCCGCTCCTTAGTGACCTGGCATTCTCCACTACATAGATCGAGATAGGGGTAGAAGTTACCCTACCGTCCTCACCCAAATAGAACGCCCGGTCATTTTTATATAACGGTATTTTGCGCATCATACAGTCTAGATACAGTCCTAATGACCGGGCGTTCTATTCGGCTGACGACGGTAGGTGGGGCAACCAGGGCACAATCGGTAGCCAGTCTGAGTTGAGTGAGATCATCTTTAATCCTTTTTTTTTTTTTTTTTTTTTTCTTTTTTTTTTTTTTTTTTTTTTTTTTTTTTTGGGAGGAACTTCGAGCTTCATAAAAGAAGCCAACACACAAAAAAAAGCTCGAAGCTCCTCCCGAAAAAAATAAAAGAAAAGAAATTGGTTCACGTCACCTCGCACGTCCTTAGCTCTTGGAACACGTGACTGTGTAATGGTCTTTTTATTTTAATTAATGGATTTTAATTAATGGATTTTAATTAATGGGTTTAACGTGTTTAGAACCAAGGTTCTGACGATTGCTTTTTTAAAGGCGTCATGCTTTCCAAGGATGTCATCCTTCAATGCGCAGGCGCCATGCTAATCTTCCTTTCTCTGTATCGTTCCAATCCTATCAACGGATGTGGCCCGAGGGACAGGGACGATTGCTTTTTCCTTCTTATCCTTCTTTAAAAAAAAATAAAAAAAAATAAAAAAAAGGATATTTTTTCTGTTTTGTACAGGAACCCGTTCTTTTGTGACTAAAAGCGGAAGCAGTAAACGTTCACGCTCATCACTTAAAATTCTCACGAAAGTTTTCAGCATTAGGCGCGCACAATTGGTAATAACTGGTAAAGACTCTATAGCCTTAAACCGTGAAAATACTGGAATATCCAAAAAAAAAAAAAAAAAAAAAAAGACATAGGCTAGGCTACCAGCCGGGCCGCCCGGGTCCCGGGTGGCCAGCCCGTGCAAGGACCAGGGAAGGTGCCAGCAAAAAAAAAAAAAAAAAAAAAAATCAAAAAATTCCGAAAAAAAACTATGTTATGAAGAAAAATAACCTGAACAGCTTTTGCCTCAGGGTCACATCGAAATTCTGCACCAAATTTAGAAAACAAATATAATTTAAAAATATTTTTTATTTTTTTATATTTTTTATTGTTTTTGGCCCGGCCGGGCAAGTGACCCCAGGCCACTCTGGTAGCCTAGGCCATAGGTATTTATCGAATCACCGTAAAAATACTGTAGTATGATACTGATATCAAAAAAAAAAAAAAGAGCAATAAACATTTTGTAACTAAAAGCGGAAGCAGTAAGCGTTCACGCTCATCACTTTCAAAAATTTTCACAAATTTTCAGCATTATGTAGGCGCGCACAATTAATTACAGTATAGACTCGAAGTCCTAAACCGTAAAAATACTATAATAAGTTAGTAATAACCAAAAAAAAAAAAAAAAAGAGTAATAATTATCTATCCAATTACCGTAAAAATACTGTAATCCCCCCCCCCCCAAAAAAAAAGGAGAGAGAGTCATAATCATCTATCCATCGAGAGATAAGGTAAGATAAAAAAAAAAAGTATAAACACACCTGACCTACCTTCCGTCCTTGGTGTAGTCAATAATTGCATCAGACGACCGTCGGTGCTGCGAGCTGATCACATCCATTAATGGATTCGAACGCTCGACCTTCCGATTAATCAGTAAGGTAGATCCACGTTGTTTTCGCGGTTTCCATTGAAAAGAAGAAGAACTGGAACCATCCCCCCCCTCCACCTCTCCCTCCCCCAACCCTCCCCTCCCATGACGACCCTCTTGCACCCCTACTCGATACTTCAACCACCTCGAAAGAAACATGATGAAGCTTCCTCGGTCCCAAGGGGAAGACGGTCGAGACACCCCGATCGCGACCGATCTTGCTGACGACCTCACCACACTAATCAAAGGAGCAGAATGTGGCACGCCAATCCAGATTGTCCCACGTGAGCAGAGATCATGCAAAGTCAGTGGAATGTGCCACGTAAGCGGATTGTGCCACGTCAGTCGGTTGCGCCACGTCAGCGGATTGTACCAAGACTTGCGGTCTCTCCTCTACTCTCCCAGGCATACAGCCGTTTGAACATCTACAAGGTCCCGATCGGCGATCCCAGCCCTTGGAACACCTAAACAAGGTCCCGATCGCAACCACTCTTGGGGACGACCACACAAGAATAATCACAGGAACAGGATCAGATTATGGCACGCCAATCCAGACTGTGCCATGCGTGCAGATGGCGCCACGTCAGCAGATGGTGCCAGGTCAGCAGATTGCGCCCGGACAGTAGCGATCCCAAGGCACCAAGAATGTCACGATGACGGACTGACACTTCCAAGTCCACTCCCTCTTAACGGCAGCAAAATCTGTCCAGGAGCGATCCTGTTGCCGAACTCGCTCCCGATCCCGACCTCTAAAACTTGACCTGCCTCCGTCCGGCATCGAGCTCCTCCCCCCCGGGACCACCACCAACTCCAAACTCGAAACATGCCATTTCTCTCTCTCTCTCTCTCTCTCTCTCTCTCTCTCTCTCTCTCTCTCTCTCTCTCTCTCTCTCTCTCTCTCTCTCGCTCGCTCGCTCGCTCTGTGTGTGTGTGTGTGTGTGTGTGTGTGTGTGTGAGTGTGTGTGTGTGTGTGTGTGTGTGTGCGCGCGTAGCAGACGCACAGAGACAAACAGACAGGGAGACAGGCAGATAGGCACACACACAGGGAGCCTCGGGGGGGGGGGGGGGGAGGAAGGAATAGGAAGCCCAAGCTCGTTCCCTGCTCGTCCGTACGTTTGGATCAATAAACCAGCCGATGGGTCGTTTTCTACCGCGCACCCAACATCATCGGCTTCGGCAGGAGCAGCCCACGTCAGGGAGCAAGACGCGACGATAAACACGAAGGCAGATGACGGGTGACACGATATCACGTGACCGACCAATAGGCAGGTGACAGCCGGTGCGACCACCCTGATGCCAGCGTGCAAAGACGTCGACAATTGAACTCCCTACCTCGTGCATCTGTGATCAGCCCGCTTACACTTACGGTTTCGCTAGCTGGCCATAGACGAACCAGGCCCGGAGATGGACATATGACCCCGTGAACCTGGTTTACAACTTAGGCCATTCATGTCCGAAAGGATCGCACTACTCGACAAAGAGGGCCTCATATTGACTACTGGTAGGGTGGCTTTCTGCGAAGTCAACTGAGGGCATACCCGGATGCTGTCCCTAAACCCCCAGCCAAAATTAGGGGGGGGTCCGAAAACAGGCTTGGATGAGCGTCTTTCTTGGGGGGGGGACGAGTTGTTGAAATCCCCCTCAAAGCTGGGATATTTCGTTAGATACCCTTGAAAGGTGCAGGTATGGAGAAATACCCCTATGACATGCGTGAAACTTTGCGAAATACCCCATTCGCCAATTGGGCCTGTCATCTCTCCCATATACCCCTACCGGACCCTGTGCAACTTGTCTATATGCCCCGGTACCCTGCAGTTTGCAAAAGAAATGCCCCGGTCCCTGCAGTCCAGGGTCACGGCATGGCAAAGTTGGTGACGACCTGGACAGCGGCAGATGCAGAAGTTTGGAACATTTTGCCATACCCCTTTGTTTTAGGGGTATCTGACCACGCGTGGTTAAACCACCAGTCCCTACCGGTTGTTAAGGCCCGTGGCTCAGGCTACCGGTAGCCCGGTCATTCCCGAGCCTCGGACTTCATTGCCGAGCCTCGGACAACCGGTAGGACACAACGGAAAAAAAAACATAGAAAAAAAAACAAAAAAAAACATAACA